CAAAAATTGTTTATTTATTACAAATAAAGCGTTTGCTTCATGTGTGGACTCATCATGAAATGGACACTATAAAATTGATGAATAGAGTCTGTTTTCATTTTAAATGCAATGTGTGTGTGAGTGAAAGGCAGTGTGAATGTAAGTAAATGGATGGATGGTAGAACGCTGAAGTTCTAGCCTTGACAGAAGACATTCAGAAAGACTTTTTTAAATGAAATAAAACTTTTTATTTAGTCCTGGTTAACCTTACTATATCATGACGCCCATCAGGTTGACTGGTCGGTTGTTGTAGCGCTTGGAAATGTCACTTTCAATCTGTGAGAAATAGATTGAAAAAACGAAATTCAGTAAGCAGCACTTATTTTAAACATTGGCGCATATAAAATATTACAATACATACGTACTTACGTAGATAGCAATAATAACAAAAAGGATGTAATTTCTGGACAGTTGCTAAAACATCAAATTGGACACTGAACATTCACACAAAGTGATTACCATTTTTTTGAGCTCCTGTGTGCGTTCTACCAACAGGTCGACCCGAGGCTCTAGCCTGGACTGCTCCTCCAAGGCTTCCCGCCTCTTCTCCACCATGCTGATGGCCTTCAGCTCCAGAATGTCGGCCTGCTTCATTTTCTGGCTTAGCACCTCTGTCAAGCGCTCCACATAGCTGCACACGAGCGTTTGTTGTTTAGTTTTTGTTTCTTTGTCAAGGACCAGTCGAGAAAACAGCAAACAGCTCTGTGCCAGATTAGCTTTGTATCTAACGTCTATCTGCAGTCTCTGTGACACCTTAGAAATCTTAAGAAAAGCCTAAAAATATAAATCAAGAATCTTAGGAAGTGCAAACCATATATGAAATGTTGCCCTATCAAATTTTCCAGTCCGAAGCCCAGTTTTTGCAGCGCAGTGACGACGTACCGCGGCGAGGCCAGGATCATGAAGAGGTGCTGCATCCGGAGCGACGTGAGACGGCCCAGCAGGTCCTGAACCTCCGACAACATGCCTCTGATGTGCTCGCTGCTCTGGATCTGGATGACCCGCGGCGCCGACTGGAACTGACTTATGGCCACCACGTCGCTCTCTTGGTCCATCTCGGTGAGGCGCTGGCTGAGGAACGTTTCCAGCTGCGCGGGACAGGAACAGGGTGCAGATTTGAGGCCGTGATTACAAACCACTGTGACTTGACTTGACTTGTGTCATTCGTAAGTCCAGGTACGAGTGAATTTCTGTTACCTCCATGAGTTCATCAATGAACTGGCTGCGGGACTTAGCGTTCTCCAGCAAGCTCAAGGCATCGTTGCCCTTCGCCACGCCCTCGGGACCTACAACGATGTCCAACAAGCATGTAAAAATATTCAAGCAAGTCTAATTGGTACAACTGGAAGCTCCCTCACAATGTGTGCCTGCTTGTACAATCTCAATCTCAACGGGAGCGACGTCGGCGTCCCCCCAGTCGATGGTATCGCCGCCACCCTGTTGGCAAACAACATCAAGAGTGCAATCTGGAACATATCCACAGATCTTCGCTTTTTCCACATGTGATTATGTAACAGCGTGAACCGTTCTCATTATTTTAGCGGATCGGACCTCAGAGCCGGGCTCCACAGTAATGCCCCAGTCGATCCCGTCGTCTACTGTGATTTCCGAGCTCGCCTCCTGAGTGCTGAAGTCCCCCCAGTCGATCTAGGTGACATAAATCAGGTGCAATTTCATTTAGTTACCTATTTTTACTTAGGAAAGCTTATTGACGGTTATTTACCGTGTCCTCTGCCGGCGCTTCGACAGGCGTCTCCTCCACATGCGGCCTCTCCACCGCCGTGGGAACCTTCCCAGTCCTCCACTCATAGAAGGTGGCGTTGCCTCTCTTCTGCGCAAACGTCAAAATAGGAAGAACCGGCTCCGACCTGCCGACAGGTGCTCCTCAGCTCAGGAACGGTAAAAAGGAGCGTGTGTGAATTTTTTGTTTGATTGGTCTACTCACTCACCACTCACATACAAAGTTGGTGAAAGCGGTGTAAAGTTGGATTTTCTCTTCAAGCCTGGCGGCGTCTGTCCCCACTTTGTCAAGAACATCTGGGAGATCTTTGACCAGAGCCTGCAGCTCACGAGGAACGTTGTCTCCCTAGGAGAGGGGGCAGCATGGTGACAACAGTGCAACCAGAAAAGTGCCCTTTTTCCAAATTTTATTGTAGGACAGCATTTCAATTCGTACAACGTGAACTCACCTTGATGCCGTACTGCTTGCAGGCGGCGTAGTAGTGCTCACGCATGTCAGCGGCCGAGCTCTGGCACTCCACCTCCCGTCTGCTCATGTCCTGCTGCAGCTGCTTGGCTTTGGCCAGCTGCTTTCTCAGAGCCGGACCCTCGTAGCTTACGTTGCGACTTAGCAGGCTGGCCGTCTCAGCTGCATTTAAAAAAATTAAAAAAAAACGCTGGGCACACTTGTTTCCTCTTTTCTGATGTTTTCAAGAGCACTTCAACTGATTCTGTGTTCACCTAAATAGATGTTATCTGCCTGGTACAGGTGCACAATCTCTTGCCAGTCCTGCAAGCACACAATCAGACCATTCGAAGACTTTGAAGTCCTTTACCAACAGAGAAGACGACCGCGGTTGTTTTTTTTTTTTTTTTTTTTGCATCTTCTCACCTTCATCCTCTGCGAGGAATATTTGCCAAAGATGTTTTTGGATGACTGTTCCGTCCCCTTCAGGATCTCCACAATTCTTAAGCAGTGGAAGTAGTGAATGTCTATATGAAACACCGTCAGTTAAGCTGTTATAAGTGTGCTGTGTTTAGTTTATTGGAGTCAAATCATATCAAAATCATCAAAATCAAGTGTGGATAGACACCTACAGGAGCCCGAGAGGAGCTCCTTGATCTCCTCATTCTCTGGCATGTCCTGTATGGCTGCGTTGATCTTCTCTCGGATCCCTTTGACGGCATTCTGCCACTTTAGATTGCAGTGACGCCGATCTATGAGCCAGTCTGCACACAGGCGCATGCATACACTTGGAACAAAAAACTTCTGTTCGCCTACCAATCGATTACGTTTCGTGAGAGGAAAAACAATTAAAGTCTCTTCCAATAGATGGTAGAAGATACAATTAATCAGTGCATCCATCATCATTTACATTGCCTCAATGAAATTTGGGTACACTGCTCTACGTAATGACATTGAACGCATCATCTCCTGCTTTCCAGAGGTCCATGAAAGCATAGAGTTTAAGCAAAAGTAACCCCTGTATATGGCTTGACAGGAACAAAATATTATTTCAGCCATACCTAAAAGTTTGCTGGTCTGAATGTCGATCGGGATGTTCTGTATGTTCTGCTGAAGTGAGAAAATATTTTAGACATACGTAATTGATAACGTTATACAGCAAGGAAGCAGAGCCACAGCTGCACAGTTGCTCCTCATATTGATCTTTAAAACAGTTAGCTAAATCTTTATGAGTTCGTTATTGTATTCCTCCTACCTCCATGATGACTTGTTCTTCTGTTAAATCCTGTTTAAGGCTTTATTCCATGTTTATTTGAAGGCTTTCTGTCGAGAGATACTCATCCGGTTGTGACACGTTACGAGAGTATCAACCAATAGGAAAAGGCGATGTTACGTTACCAAAACAATTCGCCAATCAGAGCTCAGTTTCTTGAAAACTCCCTTCTATTGGTGAATGGGAAATTATTTATTTTCGTGTAGAGGTAGGGTCGGTCAATAGAGGGCGACAAATCATCAAGACTTTGTTTTTATCTTTTTATTTACAATAAGTATATTTAACAGCGAATTATCTCTATGTTTTGATTCTCGACATTTCATAGCAACTTATTTTTTATGCTTGTAAAATTGTTTGATTGCTAGACATCTCAAATTATCAAGGATGTTTTTGTGATAACGACCAAGCCTATTGTGCTTGTATCAGGATGAATAATTTCTCATTTGTCTACAGTCGATAAAGCGCATTTGTTCATGCAAAATATATATTTTTAAATAAAAGAATTCAACTTCAAACCTTTATTTAATGCATATAAAAGGCCTAGAAGGTATGTTGTGGGTATCTGAATCCATCCTCATCCAACATACACACCCTTTAATCATAAACTTTATGATGCATTATATAGCCTCTTTCCAACTATTGTGTTTATTGTTGTTAGTTATGATCTCCAAGTTGTCCTTCCTCCTTTGTTAACCCTAGGTGCACACTTTTGAGATTAACTTGTTGACAGGAAGAAAGGGACAGAAGAAATTTGAGAAAAGAAACCCTAATCCTCTCTAGTTTAAACCCTATTTTGAAACCCTACTCTGAAAGTCTAATCGTCTGTATAATATACAGTATATTTCTAAAACTAAAATATTTGACAGGATTTCATAGCTTCGGGTGGTCATTTAGCTAGCGCTCTCCATTTTTGTCATTTTACAGGAGAGTTTTATGGCTACAATAAAATATTGGGGGTTAATCTTTTTTATTTATATGGCAATGATGATATTTCCGATAATGCACTTGAATTTGTGGTTTCCCTCTGCTACTGGCATTTTGCCAAACATAATATTCATATTGCCTGCACTTCTCTCCTCAACTGAGATCCCATCAACATTTTCTGTTTCATCGATTGGATCCCATTCAGTATCATCAAGGTTGCCTGAATGAAATGAAGTAACCTGGGATTAATGACAATAATGGAGTTAGCCCACTCTAGTTCTCAGTGGCTCAATTCATACTGTGTATTCAGGCATTTGAATGTCTGGCAAATTTGTGTGCAAAACCCACACACCATTTATGCAAAACACGGCTAACTGACCCTGGATTCATATGCATTGTGTGTGCGTGTGCGTGTGTGTGTGCGTGTGCGTGTGCGTGTGTGTGTGCGCGTGTGTGTGTGTGCGTGTGTGTGTGTGCGTGTGTGTGTGTGTGTGTGTGCGCGCGAGCAGTCTAGTTGTGAAACAGGAGTAGCACATGTTAAACACAAAGGTGACTTTATTCCGAGTCCAAATTCCACATTAGGGCCAGAGTGGCGTTTGAGACTGATAAAGGGAAATTTATGTGCAGTTTTGGAAAGCTGCTTGGCTCACAGGAATCTCTACGTCGTGGACCAAAGAAAGGTCCCACTGAGTCACCGTCACACATGTCTGCACGTCGGCTGGGAGGGACCAAGGTGTGCGTGTGCGTGTGCGTGTGTGTGTGCCAGGTAGCTGCACGGTGACAAGACAGGTGGACAAGAGAGATGCTGCTCACCTGACAGGAAGAACGCAAAAAAGGGGGGTGAAAGACGACTTAAGCATGGCGGCACTTACTCATTTTTGACCACCTTTGCTGTCTTTGCCTTCTTCAGCCAGCAAGGTAGGACATTATCTATCTATCTATCGATCTAATTCATCAAACCAGGTGTTGCCTTCAGGGACAGTTTGAAATCATAGCTTTACCCGCACAACAACTGAGTGATTGGGTCAAATGTCTCTCTCTCTATATATACATTTCTCTAGCGACCTACCTATCTGTATCCACTGTATGATTGTTATTGTAACCATGGTAACCAATTCAACTAACCATAATAGAAAGTCCGAGTCACAAAGCACAAGACAGTGTGATGGCGCATTAGATCAGTGCAGGAGAGCGCCTTGTCTTGCCGTCAGCTGGTTAGTGATTTGCACCCCCAAAAGAGAAAAAAAGAAAAAGAGGTGTTTGGTGTTCCTTTTGGGGTGCTGGGGGTTGGGGGGGAGGGGGCTGTCTGGCTTCTGTGATGTGTTGAGGCATGACAGAACACACACGGTAACTTATTAAAAGTCAACTGCGGCTGGGCCTTCCATGAGTCAACAGTCAAAGGTCCGACACACCTGGAGGAAATATGCACATTGCAAAAGTTATTCTTCAGAAGCTGACAGGCCATTTCTGTCAATAATTATGATTAATGTCCCTTCTGATGCTGATGGAATCATTCCCTAGTAGAGTTCAGTTGTATTTAATATGTAAGGTCCATGCATTTGCATTTAGTTGCAAAAACAGCCATAAAAAAAACTATTGTTATGTTCCTCGGTTCTACTGCGGGTTTTGTTGATTGTTTATCGCTTCAGTATTAAATTGACCTCTGCCCCTGAGCAGTGAAACACACGACTTATCGAGCATGGAGCGCAGCCCTCTTAGCAGCATAAAAAGAAATAAAACATTTACGACTTCAGGAGTCAACACAGCAGATCAAACACAACGCGGGACCTTTGTGCCGACAGGTGTGCGCGCCCCTGATAAGACCGCCGCACATGTGCGCTATTTGCATAGCTGCTCATATGAAACCGAGAACATTTGCACACACCATAGAATAGAATACACACTGCACGACAGAATCATATGATAACAACTTCCTAATCCATTGACAACAAAGAGGAGAGAACAGAGTGGAGTAATGCGGGGAACGCTTGGCCGTAGAGGAGTGTAATGCAGTGTGACAACCCTCTGGTCTAGTCTAGTCCAGTCCAGTCCAGCCCAGCACCCCATCTAGTCTAGTCTAGGCTAGTCTTGCATTGAATAGTCTAGTCTAGATTCGTCTAGTGTAGTCTTGTATTGTGTGATCTTGTATAGTTGTCTACTCTAGTCTAATATTGTCTAGTCTAGTCTAGTACAGTCCGGCCCAGCCTGTCTAATTTAGTCTTGTATTATCAGGTCTAGTCTAAAAGTCAGATGCATGTTGTGTCGTGTTGTTACTTCATCCAGGAGGTGTTTGTGTGACATAACATCAGATTACATGAACACCAGATACTCATTCATTCAATTATTTATTCATTCAAAAGGTGAAAACCAAGTGTCAGGTGGCCCTGCAGCCCCCACTCCCCCCCCACCACACACGCACAAACACACACATAATGACAACTCTGCATGCTGTGTGTCCCGCAGGTCTCGTGTCCGTCCCGCCGCCATCATGTCCGACCCCAGCTGGTGGAAGCTCACCTTCTCTCGCAAGAAGAAAACTGAGTCCAAGGTCCTGTACGAGATCCCGGCAGAGTATGGCAGCAACACCAAAGACCCCGCCGGGGGCGGCGGGCCCACTCCTGAAACATCCGAGTTCAGCGCCAGGCTGGAGAAGATCGTGGACAAGTCGGCCATTAAGGGGCGCCAAGTCAAGGTGTCCCACTCCGGACGCTTCAAGGAGAAGAAGAAGGTCCGAGCCACGCTAACCGAGAACCCCGACCTGTTTGGGGAGCAGAATCTGGATGAGCAGAACCACTAGAAGAAGAGTGACAAGTAGCACGTCATGAATGAAAGACTCTAAACCAACATGTGCCGGGCCAACGTCACAGACCCCAACAGAACCTTCATGTGCTCCAGTCAATTTCGATATTTTAATATACTAACGGGGGTGTTTAAGCAAAATGAACTTTCAACACTCATGCTACACAATCAGTACACAAGTGGAGTAACCAAACCGGTGAAACATCGACAATTATTGTACATATCAAACAAGACTGTATCGGCGGATTTTTTTTTTTGGACGCATTCAACAAAGACACATTGTGATTATTTTTTTAACCCCATTTTCTAACAAAAGTCTCATGGAAGCATGTCAAAGGCAATATTAGCTCTCTAAAGGATTATTCGAGTATCAAAAATAATTATCGTGTTTGTGTGTGTGTGTGTGTGGGGGGGGGGGGGGGAAAAACTGTGAATTGACCAGCGACCAGTTCAGCGTTTGTCTGTCTGCGCACTCTAAAACTGGATGAAGTCACTTCACGCAAGCCTCACCTCTTGCTGCCTCCGTGGCCATGGAGACTGTAAACAGACACTTGTCAGTCGATCCACTCGTCATGGACCAGTTCGTCCTCATCCTCTAAGGTGGATCTTTACACTGACACCTGCTGGAGTGGCTACATATGCTGCACATGGCCAGCACTCTTTGCAAAGCATAATATATATGAGAATTAAAATATCTGTGGAAAAAAAAAACACATCAAAAATGACCACAATATAACTGGGGCAATTTTTTTATTTCAAACCTTAAGGAAGACAATGGCCGGTCTTTTCAGACAAAGTACAAAATTGTACAGTAAACCTGTCATCGAACGTTGCAATGTGGCATAAAGGTAATTTTATTTTATTGGATATATCTGAAGAACATTTCTAATAATAAATGCCAACATTTATTTTTCTTTTTAAGGAAGAAATTGGAGTTGTATTACCACAGAAAGATCATTGATGGAAACTTCACATTACACCTTCTGTTGGCATCTACGAAGGAGTGTTTAAATTTCCATTTATACTGTGGCTGTTCCTCTACCAAATGAGGTTTTAACCTAAAAACACACACAATGCAGAATGACCATTTCGGAGACACTATCAATATGAACATAAAATCGATCCCATTACCCATAAGTCAACCTTCATAAATGAAATGCATCCACATCAAGGCTTGCGTCCCTTTTTTTCATAAGGCAAGAAAATGTAAACGTCACTCTAAGTGAGCTTGAAAGTGGTAATTGGCACACATTCACATTTGAAAACAAATTACAATTTGCAAGAACTTTAAAAAAAAATGTAGCAAAGCAATCAGGGTTTATAATATTTGATGCAATACACCAAGTAAGAAAACAAGGACGGAAAGGCTGTTCAATGCAGAGAACTTTCATCCAATTCACTTAATTACAAGAAAAAAAAAAAACAACAACAATCATTTGATTATTTTTGTGCTCTTTCTGTAATGCCCTAAGATTGTCGCCCAGAGGCCTTGCTACTTCTAAAGCACCATGTGTAACATCAGTTTAGAGATGCCCAACCTGATAGCAAACAGCAACAGGGTTGAAAATTTGATTAGAGGTCAAATAAAACCGGGAGTAAACCAATTTTGTAATTCTGAAGTTGATGCTAGCTTTATAAACTGATATTTGTCCTCATTAACTCTAAAATTAGAGGTAATGCTGGAAGCTAATTTCACAAGCTAACATTGAAAGATAACATTGGAAGCTAAATTAGGAAGCTAACATTAGCGGTAACGTTGACGCTAAAATTTGAGGTAAAATTTTGGAAGCTAATGTAAATGCTAACGTTGAAGGAACCTTTAGAAGCTATCGTTGGAGCTGACGTCCAAAGCTAAAGCAACATAACTATTTTCTATGACTTTAAATTTCAAATTAAATTTGTTGTTCAAAATATGTATGTGATAGCAATGAAATGCAGGATCAATCGTGTACACGTCAATACATTTACATAGTTTTCACAGTCATTAAGTGTCCAAAACTAACACGCGGCTTGCGACAAATTATAAACTCTCCATATAAGCAAATATAAACATTTTCTACTAACTGTATATTTTTGTGGCAGGCCTTAGTTCACTGTACTTACACTAGGTAAGAATAAAAAAAAAAAAAAAAAAAAGGAAAGGCCACTCAATGCCGAGAACATCCCGCTTCACTTAATTAAATCATTTTGAAGCCCCCCCACAAAAAAAAACTATTTCTCTCAAGTATTACCATTCAACCTGCCCACTCCTACCCTCTTCCCTTCGTACCTCTTTCCCTTTCATAGTAGTAACCAGTACTGTTCACAAACAATGACCATTATAAAAATATGTTCCAAAACAGCTGATTCGTAACTTTTTAAACACACTCACAGTCACATGCAAACAACTTAAACGAGCCCCCGATTACTATAGATCTGAGAGACCCTCTGCGTGCTCGCTCAGCTCCATGGTGGCGTAGTCCAAAGGACGCCTGCAAGCAGAAAACACCCAGACACTCTTTGAATTGATAGCGGTTCTCAAACTGGGGTCCCTCCATCTGTGCACGTTTCATTTCATGAACGCAAATCATTTGTCATGTGAACAAACGAAAGAAAATCAGAATACATACCTCCTTTTGTAGAAATAAGTGACAAGAGCTGCTCCAAGCGCGAGGAGCACGAGCAGGCCGACTACCAGACCAACCTGTAAACCCAGGCTGGACCCTAGGACATCGTCAAAATGACACAAAACAGAAAATATAAACATTCAGTGGATTGGTTGTCATGTTCCAATGAGAGAGCAAAACAATTCTAGTCAGACTACCTTGTGTGATACAGTAAGTATGTAAACTGAAGGTCTTAATACTATTCAGGAGGTGTACCTAATGAAGCGTCCTGAAAGACTTTACTGACCTGTGCCGGTGCGGCTGTCAGTGGTGGGGGCGGGGCAACCATCGTCATGCGGGAGCTTCCCGGGGGACATCTGGATGATGAGGGCCTTCTGGTGGTCCGAAAAGGCCAGGATATTTCCCCACACTCGCAACCAGCCAGACACACACGAGAAATTCGCCCCTTGAACAGGAACAAACCAGAACATGTAAATGTCACAGTGCAGTAGAGAAAAAAAAAATGATGCGGGAGTATAAAGTCGAGTCATGAGTCAAGTCACATCATCTTCCTTCACAAAATGTTCCATGTGACTCAAAATCTTTTCACCTTGGAGTGAGAAAGCGGATATTCCACAGAGACACTTTTGCTCCAGATAGTGGGCCACTTGGACGATCCTCCTTCCCAGACTGAGACCACTGCAGTCTGCAAACATCCCACACAAATCACATTCTGTATTATGATTTACAATAACAAATCCATCCTAGCCAAAACAGTACATTTTCCTCCCTAAATACTTCTTCATAGTTTAATTAATTAATTTCATCATACAATCCACTTTATTTCATGGTTTCATTCACCTCCCGAATTCTCCGGCCAGCCACTGGACGGAGGTCCGAGGCAAACGTCGATGTGACTGGAGAAGGCAATGCTGGGGCAGATGTTGACGGTCTGAGGCGTCGGCGAAGACGTCGTCCACGAAGAAGGGCTCCTCGCATCGCAGCACGCACAGCGGCTGAGAGAGACGGCGCCGTTTTGGACTGACCTGGACATGCACAGACAAACTGCGTTTGTTGGGAAAAGCAAACAAAAGATTGACTAACCACACGACGAGGATGGGATTCGAACCCACGCGTGCAGAGCACAATGGATTAGCAGTCCATCGCCTTAACCTCTCGGCCACCTCGTCGGGTTGTGTCACTGATCTATTTTTAAGCACTGACTCACGAAAAGCATGTGCGCAGGGTAAATGTAAACAATGCGTGAGGTGGACAGCAGCAGTATGTCATTGCAGAGTATGCTCATTATGTTGTACTGTGCTCCCGGCATTTAACCAGTGTATTAGTATGACGGAAAATACTGTTAAAACCATTTTAAAAAATCACGAAAGATTGCCGATTTCCGTGCTCACCTGAGAGCCGGAATGATCTGGCTCCCTCTAGCGGACGTCGAGGAGAGCAGCAGCTGGACGTCGCCGAATATCAGCTCGTCGCGCCGACTGGAGTTGGTCAGGGCGGTGGCAGCTCTGCAGACGCTGAACAGGTCGTAGCACAGGAGGACCGCTCCTCGGGCCGGCACATCTTCGCCTTCTGGGAAAGTCTGATCTATGCAGAGAAGAAACACATAAGCACGGGGAGTGAGAGTATGAAGCAGTTGTGAAAAAAAAAAAAATCAACTATGGCCATAAAACAGAAAAAAAGAAACATGAAGAAAAATCCATCAGAAAAAATTGAGGCCACAAATTAGCAGTTTATGCAAGTGGCCACAATGTTAAAAAAAAAGTGTCCCCTATGCCATATCTAATTTTCCATCCTATCTGTCTGTGCTCACCCGCTTCAGTGACATTGCCGACCGTGTAATACCCGTCATCGTCGATAAATCCAGTCAGAGGAAGCGCAACGATCCTGCCGCTGTGTTCCTGGTCAAACATGACCAGCACCAGACCACGCAGCTCGGTCAGCGGGGGGCCGCGCAACTCCACGAAGGACCGTTGCTGGCCGTGATTGGTCCAGTGGCCACTCGCCACCTCGTTGAGCACAACGCCCTCCGGAACCGGAGGAGGGCGGGGACAGCTGTTCTCCCTCAGCGGAGTGGGCGGAGCTACCTGTGGAAGGATTAAAAAAATACTGTAGAAATGAATAGTTCTCAGACTTTTGACTTTTTTTTTTGGAGTGATCTTCAAACTTGTCAAAACAAATCGCTGAATTCACTTGACAGGGTCTTTTTTTTATTTTTGTACTTACTGAAAATGAAGACAGGTCATAGGGGTAAAGGCCTCTGCAGCGGCTGAGCGACTCGTCACCGGGAAGAACCTCCGGATCCTCCAGTAAGGCAAGCTGTCCAGGTGTCAGCGCCTTGCTCAGCTCCTGCGCCTCCTTATCAGATCCCATCTTGCGATACACCACAGCATCCAGGAGCCCTTTGGTGGGGATCCCCCTTTGCTGCGAAGACGGGGGCCCGAAGGGGCTGCGGTACAGCGCCACGGCGTCCGGTCCGTTCTGGATAGTGTTGGGAGGCAGGCGGATAGAAGGCGCAGGCACCAGCCTGTCGCTGCCCAGCAGGAAGTAGCCCTTGGCGGTGGTGAAGTGTCCACTGAGGCTGATCTCTCTGTAGGGTTTGTTGTTGTGCGCGCTAAAAAAAAGAACCCAGATGCCCTGCAGGGACACGCGGCGTCCGGATGGGTGCCACAGCTCCAAGTACTCGCCGTCTTCAGCCATGCCGGGAGTGTCTGTGTTCAGCTCGTTGATCAAGAAGTCACCAGTCCCCCAAGACGGCAGGTGTGGGGATGTATCTGCACCGCCTCCTGGAACTACTTCAACAGGAAAGTGCATTTATGAAGTTGCTGTTAGGGATCAATGGTTCATAATGATGCTGCCTCGGACATGGAATCCTTGATTTTTGCGCTTTATTAACTCTGGACGTTATATTGCTTCTTCTGGTTCTGAGCCACCAGGGGGCAGTATTATATTTACCCTACAAAATAAATACAGAAATGTCTCTTCTAAATGCAGTAAGTATAATTTCCCATAAAGGATAAAGATGATATGCCTGTGAGTGTGCGGACACACACACACACACACACACACACACACACACACACACACACACACACACACACACACACACACAGTATGTATATAAAATCTGCCTGCAAACTCCATATCCAAAAATCAGTCATTTGTGCCAATGCTCTCTATCCAGATCCTGAATTATTTACATATGCATAAACAGTAAGTTGACCCAACACTCACCCATAGTGTGAGGGCAGATTTTTGGCCAGGGGCATTGGTTGGGTTGCCCCGGGGTTTGCGGGGCCTCCCAGAAGACGCCGGGGTCTCTGGTCCACGTGGCCATGCCGCAACGGCTGAGGTCGAAGCCTCCCTCTTTTAAACTGACAAAGGAAAATGACATTGGACATAATTATGACACATACTGTACGTTAAAAAGTCTACACACCCCTTTTCAAATACCAAGTTTTGGTGATGGAATGAAAAAGTGGGTTGTCCTGACATGTATTTTTTTTAAACTTTATTGCAGATTAAAACCAAAAGAAAAGAAAAACCCTTGCGGCGTTTGGACCAAAGCGACAAACAAAAGCTGCAATTCTTGACATGTTCTTGAAGTTGAAAGGAGAAGCTGTTACTGAGTGAGCCAGAAGACGATGGCAGCGTAATGATGCAGTCCAAGTCAGCATGACTCAAAGCGTATTTTTGATGACAATACAGGAAGGCAAACTTCTGCAAAGAGGAACAGTGGTCACAAGATGACCATCAAATCCCGCCATCAATACAAAGATGGTGTCGTAAGAATAAAAAGTACAGTTTGGAAACCCCCTTTTTTTGGGGGTCATTTATTTAGATGGGCATTAATTAATAAAAAATTCTTTAAAACAATTATATTTGAAGCAATTATTTATGAAGTGAATAATAATCATTTATATGTAGTTAAATTATGATTATTTAACTTTTTTTAATAAAATGAAAAAATGCCACTCCATCTATCAGTCTGCTATTTTAGACATTTTTAAACATTATAATTTATCATTTATCATACCATTGAATGCGATAAATTTAAAAAATGACATTTAAAATGAAGATTTACATCGCAATTAACTAATCTGAGGGAAGAAAAAAATGACTCAATGAATGCAAAAAATATCAATGGGCTCCTGATAATGTAAATGCTCAGAATGCAGAATGGATTTTTCATGGTTCTCATTCGGCTTAGTTAGTTTTGACTCTTCTCCCCTGAGCACGACCTTGAAATGAGCGAGTTTTGTGTCATCATTTCCCTTGCCTGTTGCTGAGCTGATAGGGCTGCCTGCCGGGGATGAGGGTCTCCGTGAGGTTGGCACTGGGTCTGTCTCCGGGGCCGGCGAACACAAACGAGTCCAGAGGCTCGATCTGACTTAACGGGCTGCCCACAGGAAACTCCGAAGTCGTACCGCTATATATGGCGACCGCCCCAGACTCGTCTCCTGGAAAAAAAGCCCCATCATCAATACTATCTTCTCGCATTATAGATAGATCACACCGAAGCACAATTTAATAGTCACAATTTGAATGTAAAATCCGTACTTGGCTCAGTAATGGTTGGGAAACGCTTACCTTTCATATACCTCTTGTCGACCGTCACGGAGATGAGTCCGTTCCTGGAGGTGTCCACATTCACGTTGAAACTGAAGCTGACTCTGTCCGTTTTCCCGTTCAGCACCACCAACACGAGAGGACCGGCGTCGGTCGTCGACGTTAGCTCCACCAAGCCGTCCACCTGACCTCCGCCCAGCTTCAGCTCGGTGATGACGGGAAGGCTTGACGGTGCGGCGGACGGCGTGCAGTTGTTCCTCTGGCCCGGGGAGGGAGCGGACACCCGGAAGCCCCAGCGATCTTCAGACAACAAACACCTAGAGAGCGAGAGAGACAACCATAGCTGTTCATGAGCGTGAATTGTGTTGCAAACTTGGTCAAGGAGCAAATTAAACTTGCGTCGAAGTACCACTGTGTTAAAAATATTCAAAACGGATCCTCTCGGGTACCTCTCGATGGATTCGTCCCCCTCCAGGGCGGTTTCATCCTCGACAAAGGCCCGCTCCCCAGGGGTGAGGATCTCAGCCAGGACCTCGGCACCGCCCGTCTTGCGCGTCGTATAAACAACGGCGTCCACCAAACCCGCGGCAGTGACGTTCATCTTCTCGACGTAACGAGCCGCGGACGTGTGATAGAGCGCGATGGCGTCGTCCGGACCGTTCTGGACGGTGTTGGGAGGCAGGAGGATGGCGGGTTTGGGCAGCATTTCCACCGAGCCCACCAGGAAGAAGCCCCTGTCGTCGGTGCTGTGGCCCTTCAGGTCTAAGACTTTATAAGCCACGTTTCCGTTGCCGTTATAGAAGACCAGAGTGTATCCGTCCAGCGAGGAGCGCTGCCCGCTGGTGTGGTACAATTCCACAAATTCGCTCGTGTCCAGTCTGGGGTTGTCGGCGTTGATCTCGCTGATGATGAGGCAGGGCTCGCCTTGAGCCAGGGTCACCAGGAACAGACACAGAATAGTGAGCGCCATCATCGTGGAGCAGCTTCTGCAAAAGCAAAAAGAGCAAATTGGGCAGGGAGCTCCGGGGGGGGGAAGCTAGTTAGGGCCCAAGCAGTGACTGCTGACCTGTAGAAATTCTGATGCTTCTTCGCCTCAATTAATTGCATTTTGAGGGCCTAAACATGCACAAAAACTCACCAAAGTTTGCACACACATCGGGCCTGGCAAAAATGATTTTTTTTTTAAAAACATACACGGGTACTAAAAAGTAGTCTGTAGCACCCCTACCGAGGATACGTTTGACCTGACGTCCAAAAAGTCTTTGGTAGCCATGCTGTAAAATGTACAGGAAGTGAACTATTAGAATGTATTAGAATGTCCAATTTTGGCTCATTTTGTGCGAAAGAGTTCATCCCATTGACTTCAAACTCGGTCGGTAGTATCGCAAGACCTGGGACATTAACGAGGATGAAAATGTGGAGTTTTGAACATACTATATGACATGGGCGCGGCATCAAACCATGCGCTTCAGAAAATGGATGGAACGGATGTGACATGTGTTGTGCAGATGGGGCAGCTTTAAGCAAATGGTATGTCATTTTGGATCATTGCTGTTATGTGTGTGGCGCATTCGTTCACTTGTGATGGAAGACATCACATCAAAACAACATGAAGAAAGTAAGATGTGCTGACGTCAAATGTCCACGAGAGACACTCATCATAACAGCATGAATGAGTCCTCTGTGTGTGAGTCTGTGTGTGTGTGCGTGGAACAGTGACACCGCGCATTGCACGTCTTTTGCGTGAGTCACGTCATGTTGCGAAACGGAAAGTTTGCATGCGTGAAGAATATCTCGAGTAAAATCGTTTCACCGAGTGAGGGGGGGGGGAAAGAAACGCGCCCCCGGACGATCCACGGAGTGGCGAATCGTGCATGGGAATGACCAATCATCACAAGACACTTATTCCGGTCACGGTTCGGCTGCCGTGCATGCATCTTTGCATCCTAAACCACACAAACACACACACATGCACTCCTAAAACAAAAATGAGTGGCTTACCTCGCGTGGTGTTCCCGTGACGCTCCGTGTGTGTCGTGGAAGCTTCTTCACGCCGAAACGTGGAGGAAAACAACGGCGTTTTTCTGCTTTGGGAAAAAGTTTGCTTTCTGCTCCTTCCGCCGATCCCTTCATTCACAAAGCAGCACTTTCTCCCCCCCGGAGTGGGCGGGCGGTCTGATTCGCTAAGGGGGAGGAGGGGGGGGGTGATGATGATGATGATGATGATGATGCTTTTGACCCGCTTCCCTCTTCCCCCCCCCCCACGCCATTCCAGCATCCCAATGAAAAAAAAGTCAGGGGTTGGCAAACTTTTGTGTGCTTTAAAATGTCATCATTTACGTTACACTTTGTTATCGTCATTTGGAAAATGTTACTCAAATAAATTCATGAGAAAGTTGAATATTATTACTCATGTTATACTATTAATATGATATATAGCTATTGCTAATTTTGCTGTAATTAATCAATCTATTCTAAAAAAAAAAGATTAAACCAAAAAATACATTCACTGTGAATGTGAAGTTGTTCATTTTATAAATAAATGTAGGTTTGTTCTAATTAACTAATTACATTGTTTAATAAAATAATTAATTAAATATACAGATTTAGAGAGGATGTTTTTAAAGAACGTGTATGTACTGTATATATACACGTTTTTTTAAAATAAAATCGACCTGAAGGGGGCCCCCTGAACCGACTTTTCGTCAATAGTTTCACTCCTGACGGGAAGTTCCGCCCCCACTAAGGTTTGACGAGCTTTTCTTCCTCCAGTTGCTGAAACAGGTAAAAAAAAGTACTTATTTGTTTATTTTTTTAATTGATTTTATATCCATTTTTAGTGTAATTTGTGTCAAACTATCAGAAACAACCGGGCAGTTAGAATTCAACGACAACTGTGTTTAACAACAATGTATTTTTTTTAAGTGAGTTTAGATGAAAATATTCTCCTTTCTTTACTTTGCAAAGCAATAACTCGTTGGCTCGCTGGATGACACAGTGACAGTTTCAATCCAAATTGACAAAACAAAAAAGCTTGGGTTGAATCGATGTTGCATATGTTGTGGCCAAGGGTATGAAGCTTTCTTTTTTGTGTTTGTTGTGATTGTGGAAGTGACGGTAGCTCGAATGATGATTCATTTGTTCGAAGTTTGGATGTCTTTTTTTTGCGTCAGTACCATCGATCGCCACAGAGTGTCGCTAATGGCCCGATCTAACGTTGAGCTGCTTGAGTTCGTAAAGCCTCAAAAGAATCAACAAGAAAATTGTGCTTATTATTTTTTTTTTAACCAAATCTTTCTTCTATCCTATTTCATCTATTGCTATTGAATCAAATGATTTTCAGGCAGCACGGTGCGAAGGTGGTTTGCATGTGTGCTTTCCAGTTTGGGGTATGAATCTCGGTTCTGACCTTTGTGTGTGGAGACTTAATTATGCATTGGTTTGAATGCGAGTGTGAGCCAGTCCATTGCCGAGTAGAGTAAGGTGACCTCCCCTGCATATGGAGGAGGGTATAACACAAGGCAATTTAATTAACAAGATGATTTAATATCGCTTCATCTACCCACCACAACCATTCAGTACATTGAGAATTGGTTTCATACTCGGAGGAGGAGAAGCTTGACTGCGCTGAACCACAGCCGACAGCCAATTCATCATAACATGCACATAACTGGATTACGGCGTTGCCATTCATCATATCAACTCCAATTTGTCACGTTTCGTGGGCTCTTAATAATGATTAAAATGTTATTTCATCACAATAGGGACGACCTGGCCAAATCCACGAATGTATTTTTGCTTGGTTTTCATGGGGGGGAATAGGATTCATAAAATCTGCATAGCAGTGCGGTAAAAAGTCTGAGCTCAGCAAAATGTGTCATCCTTCAACGTGCCATCATGTCACTTTGTTGGAGATTAGACAGTACAGTTCAGTGAGTCATGTCCTCGCTTTTGTTGACTAGAAGCAGAGTGTCCTAACTTTGGTTGAGCCCACACGCACATTTTACATGGAAAAAAAAAAATCTCACGGGACGCCCAAAAAGCTTGAATCCTGAAAATGGTGACTTCATTTCAGTTGACTCACAAATTGACTCAGGGCCTCTTCATTTGAACGCAAAGATGACGATACATGACGTGCTCAATGTTAGCACAACAAAGCGAGCGAGTTGTTTGCTCCAAAACAATTTTCGGAGTTCTTTTTTGATTTATATCTTTAGGATGGGGAACAATATAAAAAAAAGGGACATTTAGTTCATTTTGTTGCTTGCACGCTGTGAAATTTAGAAGGTTTCCCTTAATAGCATTCAATAAATGTCTCTCCAAACAAATCCCTTTGGCCTTCATTCAATCCTCCTTGCTCAATCGTGACCTGGAAAAGACATCAAGCGTCTCTCATCATCGCTGCCCTTTTGAATAATCCCTTTTATGTGGAGTATAAATACACAATGCCTAATCTCCCCCACCCCACCAAAAAAACCCCCAAACAAACAAAAAAAAAAAACCCATTTCATGTTGTTGCCTCTAAAAGCTTCCCTGGAGAGCCCGCAGCTCATTTTTAACCTCATTAGCCTGGACAGACATTAAAAGTGGGCCATTGTGATGATAACGATGGAATTATACACAGAGCGGAAGGTGGGATAAGAAAGGCCAAGAAACCCTTCGATTGAGCATCCTGTGTAGATGCAAAGGTAAAATATGAGCCGTGAAGGGGTTTGGACATGAATGAGCAATGTGGTAGGGCGATCTGTTTTTTTTTTTTTTCCTCTCTCACGCCTTCCCTTATAACTCTGTCTTGCAGCAAGAGAGGAGGCTTTCTTTTTTCATTCTCACCGCCCCCCCCCTTCCCCACCCTCATCAGCATTCTGCATGCACCATCGGCTCACCGCGTCCACTCACGTGCGCTCACCATAGTGATGTGTGAGATGAAGGAAGACAAGCGAGGAGAGCCCCCTTTGTGTTACGATGAAGCCCCCCTTCCCCCCAGCCCCCACCTCCATGCACCATCACTACCAAGGTCATGCATGTCAATAAAAGCCCGGTGCACACTGAGAAACAGACATCTAGAGATACTAGAGTGTGTTCAGCGAGTGTGCAGAGCTTTTTTTTCACATTTTGCTCAGTTCTTTGATTTAGGGTTTTAAGTGTAATTTGTCTTATTTTATGTAAGGAAACAAATCTCTTTTTTGAGAATAAACTCATGTTATGTGATTTAAAATCTAATTTATTTTAGCAGAAAAGAAAAAAAAAAAGAAAGATCGGAATATCTGTCATATTAATCTCAAATGGGATTGTCATCATAATTGGTGAAATAAATTATAGCAAATGACAAAATAATTGCAAACAATAAAAAGTACAATAGCTGTCAAAATCAGTTGCTTATGTAACATGTCATCATGATTGTGTACACCCTGTATGCATGGTGTTGATGCTTTATGATGCTTCGCCATCATCATGTGACATTGACTGTCGATGCAATTTTAAAGTCCAAGGTCAATTATTTATGAATTTTCATTCACACTATGGGGTCTTGTATGAAGATGTTTGAGGGAAAAATCGAATCAATTTTAGAAAAAGGCTGTAACGAAACAAAATGGCGGGGAATGGGTTTACTGTATTTGAGGTCATTGCGTGGGATTACATTATTATTATTATTATGATTATTTTTTTTTAGGTTAATGGCTTTAATTGTAAAGGCGTGACTGGTGATGCATTTCTAACACACCAGATGTGTGCTGGATTATTGATCATCTCCTCACTGGTCTCAACTCATTCCCACCCTGCTAATGTGATGCATTTGACATAATCTGGGGGAAATAATCTCAAAAGGGTCGAACTGGCGAGGGAGGATAAGAGGTGTCCGCAAGTCCGTCCAAAGATTGCGCTCTTGTTTGATTCTCAGTTGCCAAGGCGACCGGCGCCCGGGCGCCGCACCTGACCTACATATTGGCTGGATGTACACACACGCTAGCCATCTGTTAGCATCTCTTCACGCGGCGGCTCTGAGGGAATGTGATTGAGATGATCCCGGACGACTCGAGAGAACAAACGAGAGGAGACAGCGGCTCATTTCAATGACTTGTGTCAACAAGTGATAACATCGAGCGGACAGCACAGGGGAGGTCCGACTCATGTGGGATGATAGTTGATGGATATTTCATTGGATACACCTGCACTATACAGCTCAGTAATCTCCACTTTATATTGAGCCAAAACACATTTATGTATTGGAAACATATCACGGTACACCGCCAAAGGAAAAAAAACAAAACATTTTGGGTAACATGGTTGTAGATCGACTCTCACAGTCCTTATGCTACATGTCAAGTACGTACCGCACGTGGAGTGTATTCAATCATTCCAAACCTTCATTTCAGCCTCAGATGGTGACATTTACTATTCACGCTCATCGACACTTGAAAAGCCGTACCGTCGTTCATCAGCGATTGATTTGCCATCTGCATGTTCCACTGAAATCAAGTGGACTCCACATGAGTGATGATTGGTGTCACATATGCAATCCACAGTGAGACATGCGGCCCTCCAGGCCCGGAGCTGGACTTGCCTAGTGTAGGCACTCCCCCACACGGCATTCTGGATAATAAATCTCATTCCTGTCGCAGAGGCTCAAGGGAAAATTCTGGCCCACTTTTTTTTTTTTTTTTCGCCCAGACATATTTATCTGGGAAAAAAAATGGTCAAAAGTGGGCCAAAAAGTAGCACCGAGTCCCATCCGAGATGTCATTCTAAGCAAAGTATAGAATGTACATGGAGAGCCCCAGTCTGTTCTTTAAAAATCCCGTGTCCCTTGAGCGTGAAAGTTTGCCCACCCCTGCACTAGCGCAACCTTTTCCCTTGGGCTCATGAATATTTAAATCCCTCGCCACAATGGAAACGCGGGAAATTATGTAAGATCGAGCATCGCATTTCACCTGTGCAGTGAAAACACTTTGTTGCCAACTTGCTGTGAAAGGGAATTTTAGACACACTTCATTTCCTCGCTCCAAAGTTAAAGAGAGGACACAGAGTGCTCTTATATTCCAGAGAAGTAACTTTTAGGCATGAGTCTACAAAGTCATCTTTTCCCCTGCCGTCTTGTTTTGTTTTGGGGTTTTTTTGAAGTGCTTTCCACCGTGAGCGCTGCCTTGCAACTCATAGAAAGTGAACATGTTTGAATTATGATTAAGAGAG